AAGACTTTTCACTCGTAACCCTATTTCTCATTGGTCAATTGGCTATACGTCATCATCAACACCACGGAATCAAACGGCGCGCGGAGCGCGCGTTCGGTCTCGTCCTATCTATAAAAGGTGATACATCAAAATTAAGTTGGGCGCGAGTAAGATTGGCTAACTTCATGCGTAAGACTTTTCACTCGTAACCCTATTTCTCATTGGTCAATTGGCTACGTCATCATCAACACCACGGAATCAAACGGCGCGCGGAGCGCGCGTTCGGTCTCGTAAGAAGTAAAAGGAGGAAATTCACATAAGAATTGGATGAAATACAGTACATAGAATTTTACTTTTTCCGAAAGTCTCCATTTCGGTGGAAGATATCCGGTGTTAAAGGTATGTTTGCTAGATTTTTGACGAAATAAATCGACGAGAAAGTTTTTGAACAATCCTCGCACTGAGGTTTGACTGAAATTTAATTTATTAAATATTAACTACGTATCTGCCCGTATAATAATAAAAGGTCATATGGAAAGCAAGTTATCTGATTAACTTCTTTTTTTGTTTCAGAATCCTGACGTGAAAAAGTGCATGCATATGTAAAATATTTCCTACGTATACGCATATGTGAACATTTTTATGTCAAAGCTCAAAAATGTGTTATTATTGAGAGTTATGTGTACATTTTCATATCAAAAGGAATGAATGTGTTAATATTGAGAGATATATCAAAATATGCATACTAATGTGATAAAAATATGCTGTCACTCAGAAAGTGTAAATGCCTAAATCATCCAAAGTTAATAAAAATATTATCGTTAGTCAGATAATTGTATGTTTTAAAAATTGTAATATCACTGAAGCTTGAAATAAATAATAAAAATTAATTGAAATATTCATATTTTCACAGATTCAAAAAAATACGATATAATGAATCCCAAAGAATTTCGTTGGAATCTAAATGATGAAAGTGATGATATGGTAGGAATTTTCATCGAATCTTCTAAAAAAGAAGCAGAAATGACAAAATCGCAAGCTTTTCCTAGTTGCACTGAAAATTGCACAAAGAATTGTACTGAAAACTGTTTGAATCAAAAACAATCATCAGACAATTTCAGCAATTTCATTGAACAATTCAATGCCCTCTTCTCTACGACTCCACGAGAAGCTTCCTCAATCTTCGAATATTTCCAACCGTCTTGAACGCGAAGCGCCTTTGAAAGTAACGAACTCTGTTGTGTCTAACGTATCAGAAACAATGTCAAGTAAACACACTCCATCTCATAAATTATCATTACAAAATGATGGAGAATTAATTATTACTAATACGTTTGTTGGAGATTCAATTTCCCCAATGCCTGAAAAATTGCCTTGACTGAAACGTCTAATAGACATTGCCGGAAATTCTTCTAAAAATGTATTATCACAACAGACTAAAAGTATTACGAATGTGACAATTCCGAATATACTGTTTGAGATACGTATAGATGTATGTCTAAAACTGTATCTCATGCAACATGTTGTAAATCTAATGACTCTTTGGATATGTATCGGAAATATGTATCAGTTGACGGAATTTCTGGTCGTTTCAATTCAAAATCACGTGGATTGACAAAAATGCCATGTTCTACACATACTGTTGCAAATGAAAAAAAATTGAAATTTTTCTGATCGACTTATTTCGCTGCTTTTCCTTTACTTGAGTCTAATTTCTCCTCTTTTCCTTTTCTTAAGCGTCACCCCCATTTCGGTTGATCTCAGCGGAGGAGAAGGGCCTTTACGATCTGGGTCATAAAGGCCCATCACCCGATACAATGGGCTTTCGTCTACCCTTTGTTACGCACTAATAGAGGTCGGGAGCACGACTTGCTCTCAGAGCAGAGTTTGCCCAGCCCTGCTCTAAACCAAAAATTTCAATTTTTTTTCATGTGTGCATTAAAAAATAATCAGATGCGCGACAAGTTTTACCCTTCCGGAGGATAAATTCTTGCCAGATGCTTCATGGGATACTCCCCACCTTAGTACCTGTGAAGCCCCCACTACTGCCCCCACTATGCTAGTACTAAGACCCTTATTATTGAAATGGTTGTAAACTTTATTGGATTTCTAATTCGAGTTTATGGCTCTGCTCCGAGCTACCTGGAGATTGCCCATGCCTGCTTTAAAGTTTTTGAGGAGAAGGGCCTTTACGATCTGGGTCATAAAGGCCCATCACCCGATACAATGGGCTTTCGTCTACTCTTTGTTACGCACTAATAGAGGTCGGGAGCACGACTTGCTCTCAGAGCAGAGTTTGCCCAGCCCTGCTCTAAAGTTTAGTTTTAGAGTCTAAACCATCGGACTTATTAATGAATGTTGAAGTTAATAGTGATACACACTATGGAATAGTATGGATTATGGAAAAATAGGATTTTTCCCTTAACAACTTGCAAAATCAATCAAAATCCCATTAATTATAATTCTGAGACTATACATACTATTAATAATTTCACATGGAAATTGAATGATTCTGAATTCACAAGACACTACTACGTTTTCTGATGCAACAATATCGATGATGAATCTGAATGAAATCAGTGAACATTATGGGGGTAAAATGACAGAAACTTGTCAGCAATTGCAATGCCAGATGTTTTGAATGCTAAATTATTTGTAACAAGAAAAATTCATTTAAACAATATTGTGAACATGACAAAGTCAAATTACCTCTATTGCCTGGAATGCCATAGAAATTGAAAATTCTGTTCCATCGAACGTATCCCAAATCTAATACATGTTTCAATCAAATTAGATATTACAATAATTCTTCTTCATTTGCTTCATTTAATGCAAATTTAATGAATTACTCGAATTGACGACCGGAACCTTATTGTTTTTTAATTGAAGGACAAATTCATTATCAATGTAATACTGCATTATATCCCGCTGCCAACGATAAGATATGGACAACTTTTCATTCTTGATCCTGCAGAAACAGTCAATGTTTTACAGAATACTAATTCGCCATTGGATGATGAAGTTTTGCACATAATGAGGGTGTCGAATCCCATCAAATTCTATGGGCGGCTAGGGAAAATCGCAGTTTCGAAAAAACGGATTTTTGGTGAGAATAACTCCCCTGGTGGATTTGTGAACACGCAAGTGGCGGGTGGTTCCAACTATAATTTCATAATACAAATGAATGCATAATTAGAATGTTTATATTATCATCGATGAAAATGTGCAAAAATTACGTGACGAGCGCGCCAAGCGCGCGTTAGCATGCTAGTACCTTACATTAAAAGGGCAAGGGATTTTTCATTTGTTTTCGATTTCAAATAATCAATTCTCGTTGAATATTCGATTATTGCTCAATGCTCGATTTTTATCTGAAAGATCGACCCGAGAAATGTGGATAAGACGATTTTATATTTCCACAATTTTAAACATTATACAAGAAAAAAATAGGAAATATTTTCAGTTAATTCTCTTCACTGAATTCATATTCAAATAATTTTTTTTTAAGAGATTTAATGAAGAATATATTCTCTTTGCCGTAATGTCAGTAATTCTCATCCACTGAAGTTTGCAACAATTCAAATGAAAGGCGTTCAAATTCGAATAATTAATCATCTATCATTTGGCAATTGAGTACACGTTGACCGGACAATAATGGATCAAATGAATTGCAGTATATTATTGTCGAAATTCATTGAAATGCAATAATTTACAAACATCAATTTCCCAAGTAAACCAGTGTAGATTTTGATGATGTTTGTAGTTTCGATTATGTGCCAAGTTTAATAGTTACCAAAGATAATGTATCGTCTAAGTGTCGAAATACTTGAGCAGCTAAACGCGATGATTTATCCCAATTTCTTGTTAAATTTTTGTTTTCTTACGGAAAACTTCCTAAAAAATTCTAGAATCGAGACAAGTACAGATCCGGGGGTTGACTTAAATAGTAATTAAAGGATCGATTCATGTGTCGGGTTAAGTATCGATTGGAATGTCAATTCAAGCATCTCATTTACATGAAGACTCACTTGGTCTCTCGCATCCAGTGGCATTGCAAATAACGCACCTATTTTCATGTTACCTGCTAAAAATTAACGCGATAACGTTAATTTTTGGTGCAGTGTTTATAATGAACAAAATTGGTCTTTAGTCATTTGATTATTAAAGTCATATTTCCGGAGATGAACGCAAAAAGGCCGCGAAAAACACATAACATAACCTCTTTCAATTGATTGAACAATTGTTCCGGATTTGCAGGATTATTATTCTTAAACTTATTATTTCTATCCAAAACAATAGTTAAAAAAAAATTGGCATCTCAGGTACCTTGACTAACGTATGAAAATCCAAAATTATTCATTATTTCCTGGTATTTCTATATCATAATAAAAATAATAATCTCACAAAATATTTTTCTTCCCTTTTCTCTTCTCTCTTTATACTCCCAAAGTGCTAAACTAATACCCCGAGTTTAGGTTTGTCCTGATTGTATCTAGAAACATCCTTCTTCTTTGAAGTGTTGGATTTTTTAATAAATTACAATGATTATAATTGGAAACGAATGACACCAAGTGGACCGAGGGAGCAAAGTAAAATACGAGCCACGAGCCGGGCTACGATTTAGGCACGTTTTGTCAAATTTTTCTTTGGAACATAACAAAATTTGAGAGAAAATGTCGAAAAATAATCCCACGAGTGTGAAAGTTGACGATTCGACGAGTTATTGGGTGAAAATAAGAGTCAAAAGGATATGTTTTGGCGTAAATCTGAGGAACACTATACCAAAATTTTGCGAAAAACCAGGAAAAGTGGAGAAACACTAGAGCAATACATTCTTAAAATAATTAAAATATAGTCATTAATCGAATTTCAAGTGAAACGGGGCAGTGAGTTTTCATTTCAGTTGAACATGCATTTAGAAAGAGTAAAAGAAAATATTAAGCTGAAATGTTTTAGATTCATTTGGACACATTTTGTTTTAAAAATTCATTGCTGAGATGTTCACAATAGCTGTACCTCACCTCGGTGTTATCAAACTTGGTAACCAGTACGATATGGCCGTCCTTCAGTCTAGATTCAATATTCTTCGGAATAGCAGGAGCCTGAGCGAGTCTTGAAGGATACTGATAATGAACTTTTTCCTCCCACTGCTGCTTCTGCCTTGCTAGCGCAATCTCGTCCCCCAATAGTCTCATTTTCCACCTAAAGTCATTGACTTCGGAGTTTTTTAGAGAGGCAAACTCATGGAGACCCTTACCGATCAACAGACCGATCTGAGAGTCTAGATTTCTGTCGCCTTTGACGCCTTCACGCTCAATTACTTTAAGAACTGAACAGAACGGTTTGATGTCACAGAGCCGACGACTTTCATCTCGTAATTCTTCAGGCTCCGCATTGGAGTTTATACAGGAAAATAAATATGATGGAGCATCCCTGAGTGTGCCATGGAGAGGATATTTACTTGCTTCATCCCATAATTCCTGCAATAATAGAGTGAGATTGGGCATTTAGTACCTATCAATATTCAAGACTGCTGTTATATTGAAGCCCGGATGAAGATTTTTTGCCAACAAACATGTACGAAAAAATTACCTCTATATAATTGTGGCCACAAATGGTCAAAAAAAGACACATTGTAAGAGAGTATCGAGATACGTGGTAGCGTATCGGCCAAGTAAAAGTTTCGTCTCTATCCAACAAATAAGACCGAGAGCTACGGTGTATCTATACACGACACAACTACCCCTTCCACTACTTCCAATCGTATTCAATCCATAAAATACCAACACTACAAGTTACATGAAATCTGTGCATAGTTACATTATACAAATCGCCCTCAAGCTTTTCATTGATATAAGTTTTCCCTTTTTTCCATTAATATTAGCAAAAATACGCCCATGGCAACGGGCTCATTTCAATATTTTACCGATTTCTATTATCTTTCGGTTACATTGAAGTCACTAAGTTGGCAGCAGGTCGATCCAACCTAACCTGGGCCAAATTTGGCGTTGAGATGTTGCCATCAGTTTATTCAAACCGTTGATTCGCAAAAGAGAATCGGAGGAGAATGTTTTATTTTTTCCCTTGGATTTTATATTTTTTATCTATTTCCATAATTATAATTGTTAACTAGAATATGCTGCGAAAATTATATGCAGTTCTTGAAAAAACCGTGAAATCTCCCGAATGATGATTTTTTTATTTTCATTATTGAATCCTTTCTATCGACTCTTATCACTTTTCTTGGCGTTTTCATTTACATTTTCTGAGTTTTTTTTAATATCTTAGAATGCCATATTTTGGCAAAACACGAGTTTTTCACGGAATCAACTGTGCGAAACTTTTACTTGGCTGAGTTTTTTTTTTACAAAAACACCAATTTTCGTCATTTCGGGTTCACAGAAAACTCTGGGCAAAGCTCTTCCTTTGTTTATTTCACATTTTTTTAATTTCACTTTTATATAGAATAATGTTGAAACAGGGTCCAGGAACAAAAATTATGATTTCAACAAGGACAATGCAATGACAGTCAATTCTTTGAATCTGTAACTTACATCCCACCCGTGAAATGGCGTGACAATTCCGTAAACGAGGGCCAAAATGTCGTTTCTGACACTATTATAGAAATTTTTAATTCCATTTGACGTAACTTTTGTGTTCAACATATTACAGGGAAATTATGTGACTCTAACATAAAAAACGTCCATAAAATTAGCAAGGTCAAAAAATGGATGATTTTTTTTGGTCACTAGCGTATACGGCGCGCAATGCGCACCCAAGCTTACATGTATGGGGTATTATCATATAAAATGTTCATGTAAAATGTGCATATTAAAAGAATCTTAAGTATCTAAAAAAAATAGTCATAATTTAAGTTTTTTCTTTAATTAAATTCAATTGATAAATATAACGATTTTCAATATATAAACAAATTATATACAAATAATAATAATAATAAACAATTATATATACTATATTATAAATAATATATATATATATGTAGGTGATTTGGGTACTTTGGCAACTTAACGGAAAATTCCAGCATTTGGTAAATGGAAGCACTGGTCATTTTGGCAACGGTTGCCAAAGTGACCACAAGTGTGAAATGGACCACATGAGGGAGTTGTCCCACTGCAAATTCGACACCACCCTAGCAACCCCTTCTATATGCCGAAAACCCGAACGCGAAATTCTTAGTTCGAACTCCGAGAAAGTGGAGTTAATACTTCTTTTGAAAAAACATGGTCAGGATGGGACCAAGGCGGAATTTAAGTGCATAGGGAGGAAGAGCATGAGGTGAGCGTCATTTTACACTCAAACACTATCTTTTTGCGTGATCCAACCAGGCAGCATAATCCAGCAATGCGCCAGTTGGAAGTTGTGATTTACGTTATTTAAGTTGTGAATTTTTTTAATCATTTAATGATTTTCATTTTTATGTTCACAACTTTCAATTCCAAATTCTCCCTTTGCAATTTGAAATTGAAACAATATTGATTCTACATTTGGATTTGCAAACTTAAAAATTGCCAATTACCAATTAAAAATTTGAAATTGACAAATTCGAATGTTGAATGTCAAATGGCGAATTAAAAATTTTGAATTTCAAGTTTCTTTAAAGTCAAATGATAACTGAAAAACAAGGGGTTTTCTCATTTTCGGAGCAGTGAGGGGGGGGGGGGTGCAGTCAACTAATAATTTTGAAAAAATTAGTTTTTGTTATTTTTGGAGCAACGCGGGAGGAAGGGTAAGGTCAGACGATAAATTTGAAAAATTTGTTTTCTCTCATTTCTGCAGCAGCGTGCGGGGTGTGTGGTCGAATGGTAATTATGAAAAAATAGGCTTTTCTCGTTTTTGGAGAGGATAAAGTCAAATGATAATTTGGAAAAATTATTTTTTCATTTTTCGAGCGGCGTGGCTGTCGGCAGAGATGTTATGTCAAATGATAGTTCCAGGAAATTGATTTTTTCCATTTGCGGAGCAGCGTGTAATGGGAGAGGGTTGGTTTTTCGTATTTTTGGAGCAGTGCGGCAGGGAGAGGGAAGCTAAAGTAAGACGATCAATCGAAAAACATGGGTTTTTCTTATTTTTCGATTATCCTGCGAGGAAGGGGTGGTGGGCATGAAATGACAATTGTGAAAAAAGTAATTTTTCTTATCTGTGGAGCAGCGGGGAGGAGAGGTCGAAGTAAAAATCAAAATCATTGAAAAAACAGTCTTTTTTTTCATTTTTTAAGTAGCCCGGAGGGTAGCGGCGGTCAAAGTCAAACGATAATTATGAATAATTTGGTTTTTGTCATTCTTGGAGCGGTCTGGCGAGCGGGGGGAGGAGGAAATCAATTGATAATCCGTAGAAATTGATTTTTCTCATTTTTACAACAACCCGGAGTGGGGGCGTTGGGGAGGGAGGTATGAATCAGACGCGCATGATAATTTTTAAGGACGGGACGGGAGGGTACAGTCTGACGCTTATTGCGAAAAAATTGGGTTATTTCACTTTTGGATCGGTTCGACAAGGGCAGGGGGGGGGGCTGAATGTTAAAAAAATGTCTTTTTCTTTCTTCTATCATTTTCATAATGAGTTTTTGTTGATTGTTTTTTTTGGGATTATTTTTGGACCGGTGAGGGGCAATGGAGGGAACAGAAGGGCTTAGCCGATTAAAAAAATAATTTATTATCACTAATAGTATTATTTATTGCATGTACATATACCCTATTCGACTTTTTACATTGGTTTTGTAGCATGGGCTGACTTCTTCTCCAATCGTGTCACATTTTCCCCAGGAGCTATACGCCATGTACAGACCGTCCTGGTGACCAAGGAAAGCCATGGAAAACCTTAACCGGCACGGCATCCATCAACCAAGCTTCATCGAGGAATAATATTTCTCGATGATTCTTGGTGTCTAGACTCCCGTTCGGCAGTTTCCGAAAGATTAAAATTCCAATGCCCTACGCCGAGCGATTTAACCAATTTGGCCACCGCCGTCGCTGAATTTATTATCATTAATTTTTTACCGCATCATCTTGGAGTGGTGTTGTGAGTGGGAGGATATTCGAAAAAAGAGGTAATAACAAAAGTAATGATAATAATATGAATCATTGTTGATCCGGTTTTGTACTAGCATGGCAGACGAGTGGTGATGTCTAAGCCAAATGATGGTATAAATAATATATTGAATTTATGGTTTTTTCTTATTTAATTGAATAAATAAATAATTGTTTAAATATCATCTATTAATCAATCATTATATTTATTGTTAATATTTTATGACACGCACGTTGAAGGACAACTATGAGTGAATATGAAGGGGTTTCCCCAGATCCAAAAATAAAAATGGACCAAATCCAGGTTAAACTCAGCACCGTACTAGCAAGGTTTGGGGACTTAGCCAGAACCGCGCCGGATCAGGTTCCACCCTGTAATGACATCGGGTCAGGTCTTCGGGGTTGATCCTTAGCTACCATTGTCTGCCATGTAGGTGTTGGCCAGGGTTATTGTAATCACATAATAATGTTATGTGCAGTTGAAATACAAGTAATTAAATATTACCACTGCGAGCATTCGCGCCGGGTTCAAGGGAAGGACGGCATGGCTGTCAACATATCAACGATAATTGTATATAAACACAAAAATAAACTAATTCATACTTTCAAGATGTTGTTATCATTAATTGGGCCTTACCTACACAACCCTCACGCAATGAATACCGATTTTGTGTACTTAAAATATTACAACTACTGAGGTTTGCACCTACCACCTAACGATTACTAATCCTACGCTTTAACCCGTTCCCATTTCTAATCTGCTGTGCAGATTCTTAAAGTCTCCACTTCGGATTTGCTGTATATATGAATTTCGCGACCGTTTTCTTGGACTTAAACATTTCATTATCTAGTTTATAAACATAGTAACAGATTTCTACATAGTTTAATCGATGAAATAATTAAAAAATCAATAATAGTAACGGTAATTATGATTACTCTTATAACAGTGAATAATTAATCGTCTGCGCTATATTCTATTTGCTAGAACTATCAGATAAAGTATGATTTAAATCCATACACTGCCACCTTGATGATATATTTCAACAGTTACACCCTTAAAATTCCACCCGCATTTCTCAACCCTTAAAAAAGATCACATTACCGGGTGGAACCAGATGGCCAAGCTCCGTGGGTATCATTTGATTTAATCTCCCCCACCCGCGCTCCGGCAAAAACGAGAAAAATATCTTTTTTAATTACCATTTGACATTATTCCGTTAATCGGCGCTACTCCAAACGCCAATTTTTTAATAATTATCATTTGACTATACAGGGCTGGTAAGGTTGCGAGGGAGGGCAATGCAGGAATCTGCTCTCGGTCGGTAATGTGTGAGGGAATCTTCTTTATCGGCCTCACCGTGGTAATATTCGAGGCTCCATTTTGGACCAGAATGCGGCGGCGGGGGGGGGGGGGATCCACCATGTGATATCTC